CTCCTCACGTAGAGCTTCCATTAAATGTAGGTTTATTCCTACTCCAATTGGCACCTGACTCAGCAAATTCATAAGGGTCCTCCTAGTTGGCAAAGCAAACATCGTTCGCAGTAAGCGGTATGCTCTTGGACTACTTTTGAAAATTGTTAAGCCAAATATTTTGTTTTGCAACGTAAAGTGTCGCCCTTGGGTCTTTTTTGGTTGTTCTCGTAACTGACTAATAATAAAATTGAATGTTGCAACATTCACTGTATTTTTTAATACATTTTCGGCGATTTCTATTCTTTTTGTTTTTGTCAATTTCGATTTATTCAATTGTTTTTCATATCTGCCTGCTGTTCGCTTGTACCTTCTTCGTGACTTCGAACCAGTTTCTGAAGAAGGTTGCAACATGGCATCCGGAACGACAAACCTTTTCTTAAAAGACGCACGGCAAAACCGGAAAGTTTCTAGTGTTAGTTCTAGTTTTAGTTCTAATTTTAGTTTAATTAATGGAAGGATTTTTTAACCTTGCAAGTATACATTCAGCTGAACTATTTCTTTTTTCAAAGCAAACTTGTGTAAAGTATAATATTAAAGCGTTGTATTGTTCCAGTATCCTTTTAACAAGTAAATGTAAAGACAACCACCTTGTCTGAGATGGCTGTAATATTTTATCGGGTTTTACGTCAGCAAATTGTTGAAATAATGAAAAATCGTTTTGTCTTTTATAACTTTGGTGAAAATAGTTGTATATATCTTTGGCAGGTAACTCTACTGTTTCGGGTAATTTTTCACAGGCACTATTTGCACACAAACTAAATGAGTGGCATGTACATTTAATTAAAAATAAATACGGTATATCATTTTTTAATTTTATTGACAGATAATTATGTATGCCCATCATTACATTGACTCCATCAGAGCCAAATCCAATTAAATTTTCTTTGTAATTGATATTATATTTGTCAAAGAAATCAACTATACTTTTATAAAGTCCATCAGCTGTACCATCTGTTACAGGAATTAATCCCAAGAATAAATCGGTTATATTTGTGTTAAATAAGCGCACAACTAAAACTAAGTTTTTGATTACACCTACATCAGTGGATTCGTCAACTATTAAAGAAAATTTATTATGCAGTAACAAATCTAAAGTGGTTTCAAAACTAAAACTCCCCATTTACTACAGCAGTAGTTTAGTTCTTTTGCTGTAAATTTTTTTTGCAATTTCTGAATCCGGAAAATTACTTTTAATATATTCAGATAAATGGTCCATCGCATTAAACGCTGTATTATGCTCTACAGCAAATGCAGCAAACCCAATCTCTGCAGTCTGTAATTTATCATGGAAATTTATATTTTTTTGAAAACCCGCCGTAGTTTTTAAGGTTTGTTGCGAAATAGATTTCGCATTGGTAATGTGGCTTTTATATTGAGAGTATTTATGTCGCTTGGATTTTTTACAAACCAAGTCTTTGCTACATACTTTGCAGTAGGCATAATTGGGCCTTTTCTTGCTGCGTTGTAACCATCCCTTAAACGCGCCTTCTTTTTCCCAATTTTCTTGATATTTTTGGGAATAGACCTTTATCTTTTTTCTTAATATGAAGCTCTTTACTCTCCCCGGAGGAAGACGGTGGAGACTATTCATCCCCGCTTTGTGAGGTGGATGGTCTAATCTTTCGTTTATCCATATTAATATCTGTTAAGAAAATAAAATTATTATACTAATCTATTTGCTTGCATAAAAACGATTTTGAAAAGTCATCTAAACCGTTTATTCTCAAAGTCTTATTTTCGATAAAATACGGTTGATATAGGATACTTTCTGTATTTAAACAATTTAACTACTTACCCTTTCATATTTTGTAGAAACACTTTATTACACTAATATTAAAACTTTGTTAACGTTCCACGTTAAAATGAATTACACTCAACTACTCACACAAGAACGAATACGGTGAACACCCTGAAATTCGTTTTAAATTGTCGAAATTCAACGTTGTATACATATTTTTTGGATATAATGGCTTCCATTAGCCATTATACGCTCATCTTAGGCTCATCGTTACGGATTAGGGTAAAAAATATATATAGGTTAACGATGAAATCTTTTATTTATTTTTGCAATCAGTGCTACATATGTTTCGACAGCTTGGCTGTCTTCTTCAGGCACGACTTGAAATACCATGAAGTTAGTGAAAAACGTTAAATAATCAAAATGAAATGAGTTTTACCGTCAGTTATGTGAAAGACCTTGAAAAATTGTATGTATGGCTAAGTTGGATTGAATCAGTTTCTTTCAACTCTCAAAAGCACAAAACGAAGTATAAAACATATATCAGGTTTTTCTCAAAATCCTGAAGGGAGCGATATGTTTTATTAGTGAATGGAAAAATTTCAAAATCGAATCGGAATTTTATGTTCGACAAGCGTCGTTTCTTCGGTATTGTTTAGTCAAATTTCTTATCAAACTAAAAGCTTACAAAAGTTAGAACATAAATAAATCCTCAATTTAGGACACAAATTTTCCTTACCTCATACAACCAAACCTATAGATATTGCTATAAAAATAGAATCAACTTTATTCTAACCCACATATCAAACAAATTTTCTTTGAGAACCATGATCTCATACCAGACATAGAAAAACATAACAAATCAAATAGACAAACCCATAACTTGTTAAATAAAGTCAAAAAGCTAAAAAATAAAATTTCTAGTGAAAATCTCATTGTAAGCTTGGGCGACAAAAATGCCGGATATGTAATAATGGATAAGAGTTCATATATAGATAAAACCAAAAAGTTTTTCCAAGAAAATAACATCTGTGATATGAAAAAGAACGTTACTTAATAAAATTCAACACTACATCGTACAATTCTACCGTAATGAATCCATTAATTCCGACCTTAAAGAGTTTGGTAAAGTTGCATAAGGATGATAAAAGTATTAGACCCATCATCAGCAATAACGATACTCCCACATACAAGGTTGCCAAACTCATTCAAAGGTTCTTATATGACGTTTTTCACGAGTATTTTCAACATACTATCAAGAGCTCCAAAGACCTCATCAATAAGCTAGATAATTTTAAGACTAATAAGAAAAGTAAACTCATATCTTTTGACATAAAGAACCTTTACACCAATGTACCTATTAACGAAACCATGAAAATAATTAGAAAACACTTAATAGAATTTCAACTGTACCTAAATCTTGACATTTTGGAAATAGATAGTTTTCTAAATGTTCTATCTTTGACCTGCAAACAACAAACTTTGGTGAATAGGTAAACAGCAAAGTAAATAATAGGTAAGCAGCTTTGGTGAATATGGATAACTTTCGTGATATTTTTTGTATTTGATGATAAATTTTCCAGGATGACGGACGGTCTGCCAACGGGTTCTCCCATATCCGGCATACTTCGGACATATATGTGAACCATTTCGAGAATCAACTTTTTTCTGAGCCTTACAAGTTCTTTACCTCTGATATAACATTTTACTGTCGTTACGTGGATGATATCTTTGTTGTTTATGACGGGAATAAAGATAAATTTAAAGCATTGAACAAAATCTTCAATAACATTTCAAAACTTGACTTCATCACGGAATTTGAAAATAATGTAAGTCTCAATTTTCTGGACCTAACTATAAAAAGAAATATTCATAATAATAAATAACTCAGCTTATTCATAACATTAATAAGATCATTTTTCCTAATTACTGTCAAAAACTTAAATTCATAACATTACCTTTTATACCATCTGCTCAATTTGAAATAAAACTTAACCTACATAAATTTGGGATTACCCCAGCATTTATTTCAAATAATAAGATAAGTTCGTACATAATGAACGTAGTTTATTACGTTGTAGTTTAAAACAATTTTTCTCGAAATGACCTTCTTTATCGCAGTAATTACATTTTATTTTATCATTTGGTCGTGCTCTACACTGAGCAATTTTATGACTCTTCTTTTTACAATAAAAGCAAATAATATCTGAAATATTTCTAACCTCATTTACATTAAATCTTTTATAACGAAACTTTAACTCTGACTACTTTCTTCTATTTCGGCCAATTCTTCCGCCTTCTCTATAGTAAGGTTCGGAATTTGCCGAAAATGAAAATCCACTTTTTCAATTAATTCACGTTTATACCTCTCCTAAATTGTCTAACTATCATATCATTAATTACTGCTAATCTACCTGTTTTCTGATCGGGAGGACACTTATTGCATTCCTCTGCAATGAATTCCTCACTACAAATTCTCAAACTTTCTACGAATCTACAAACAGGTTCATCGTGTAATTGAAAACAATTAGCTAGTCTATCCTCTGATCTTCCTAACGATTTTGTTGTTGTATATCTTTTAATTAGTAACGCTTTAAATTCATCATAGTTTAAGGAATTAAAGTCAGGATCTGATTTAAAATATCTGTATGCTTCACCCGCTAATCTAAAGTTTACAATTTGTCACGCCGTAAAACGTTAGCGTTGATATCTACATTGAAAATCCACACAAACAAGGACAATTCCAATTCCTCAACTTTTCCAACCCAAGGTTGTTGCCGCAGGTACCTGGATGACTCAGTGGAGACGGGGGGGTACAATTTATTTTATTTAAAGGCGCCATCTCGTTAATCCTGCGACACCCACTAACGAGGAAGTGACGATGTGTGTGAAATAGGGTTAAGGTAGGTTGAGGAGATATTCATTCACAAAATACACAAAAAAAAATTTAAGGTAAAGTTCGATATAATAAAAAAAAAAAATAAACACAATTCAACAACAAAAAAAAAAAAATTTCAAAACGATCAGTAATATTTAAAAAAGAATAAACCCTTTAAAAAAAAAAATAAGATTGTAAGTAGTTAAAAAAATTACTCTTAAGGGGAAATGTAATTATCATAAAAAGAATTCAAACAAGAAATGAAATAATTTTTTTTTTTTAACAATTAAACAAAAACACTGACCTTTTTTTTTTCGTTTTATCAAAAACGAAGTTGAGAGTTCCTTTTCCAAAAGTACATGAAAATTTCCAGTGGACGCCGTCAGGTTGGTGGTCGAAAAGGTAAGGATGGATGCTGTTATTCCAAAAATAACTTTCCCCAAAAAAAAAAATTCTCAAAACACCTTTCTGTTTCAGGTTTCTCAAAATTCCAAAATGGTTGTGGATGGATACCACGATTCGTCGTGTCGAAAATTTCGATATAAATCGACAATATATAACGGCTCAAATTATTTTCGACCGTACACGTGTCGCCTAAAATTTTTTCATAAATGTATTAATTTTTTTTAATTGTAAAGTAGAATAATTTTTAATTTGTGAAAGAATAAAATACTACATAACTGAAGTATTGAACATTAGTTTTAATATTAGAAACATTAGATTACGAAAATAATTAACTCAAAAAAAAATAGATAACTTCGGTACCAGCTTACCTCATAACGTTACGAGGCTAAAATACAGCCGAATTAAAGATTAATACTGCGTTTTTCTACTCCGGGAAATCCCGATCGTAATTAAATACTTTGTCGATGTTTGGTGAATAACTCCGCCAAAAGCCTAATTTTGTCTACGACCCAAACCAATTACAAAATTTTATCTTCAAAAATGTCGTTTCCGGATAAAAATGCTTCACCATACATTAAACGCGTGAGACTGTCTAGTGCAAGTGACAATCAAAAAACTAAAGACGCATATCTTGTTAATGCTACTTAAAATCATCGAAAATTCAGTAGTCGGCTGTGAAATTGTACGTAATTTGAGAAATAAACTGTTTATTATGAGCTAAAAAGACATCATCCATAAACCAATTTAGTTTAGGCATAATAATTTTCTAGTGATAAAGAGAAAATCCCCAAAATGTCAAAATTAAGTACTTTTGGTTTTAAAATCGATCATAACTCAAAAATGAAAGGTAATGGTGAAAAGTTTATTTGAAATAAATTGTTTATTATGAACTAAAAAAAAGTTTCCCTTACCAACATTGAAAGAAATTATTATTAATAAACGCTGTTTATTAATAGCAACTTCATTGTCACATTGAAATTTTTATCGATATTATGAAAATGTTATAAATTTTTCTTGGTGACTCTATAATGCATTTATAAGTTCGTAAAATTAACGTAATATTGATTATCGGAAAGTACTAAACATTAAAAAAACTGAACGAATCCAATAAGTTATGATTTACAATTCGTCTCTTACACTGAAAAAAATGTTGTTCATAATATCAATGAACAGTGGTTGTTGACTGATTTTCATTGTCTCAATGAAGTTTTTCGTTGACGCAATGAAGATTTGTTCATAGACTAAAACCCCTGTTTATCAATATTATGAACGCATATTCATTAACACAATGAAATATAATCATTGTAGTAATGAAGACTTTTCATTGGCTCAAAGAAGTTTTTTGTAATTACAATGAAGGTGTTCATCAAACTTTACATGGTATTAACGACTATTAGTCATTGATATAATGTAAAGACTTCATTGTATTAAAGAAGAAGTGTCATCAATGCAATGATTTTAACTGCTAAGAATATTGTTCTTTATATCAATGAATAAAATTCATCAATCACAAGCCTACACCGCCGTAGTCCGCGAATTTAAGTCAGCGATTTCGTTATCGTCAGATCACTGCGCTATCTATAAACTATTATAACCATAATCACGTTAACTCGTCGCATTGTCACATCTTTAACAGTGATAGTTGAGTGAAGAAGTGTGTATTTTTCCAAAAATATATAGTATCTACAGGTAAGACAAAAATAGCTATCTAACGCTTTTCGTTTTGTTATCAAATGTGTTTTTTTTCTGCTTGTAATGGTTTACAGGTAGCTTTACCTATTAAACTAATTGCAAACTATTTTTTTTTAAATTGAAATAAGGTACAAAACAACGTTTTCAAATTAACAAACATGTTATGCTTTATTTGTAAAAATGACCATGGAAATTTTCAATCTCTAAGTAACCATTTCAAACGTTTTCATAATCTAAACTCAAATTCCACATTCAGATGTCTGGAATGTAGTCAAGGTTTTCAAAATTTTTCATTCTTTTAAAAGACATGTCATTCGGGTTCATTATTCTACGAATGCATCTTCTATAAACTCCTTAATATCAAATGATAGTTTTAACGAAATATCAATAGATCAAACTAAAAACTTTAATATCGCAGCAACTTTGCCATGTGTTCAACCTGAAAAAAAAATGTAGTGCCACCACCAATGAAAACATACAGAAAGAAGAATTTAGATTTGATACTTTTTAGCAACAGATAACCAACTCTGAATTGAATACAAGTCTGAAAATTACCTATCATCATTCAATGAAGAGGTAGGATTTATACAAAGTACTACAACTCAGTGACGACCTTCAAGAGGGGTGTTTCCAAATATGTAACTTCAATTACAACAAAAAAGGTTAAAAAAGGTCGAGGCATGAGGATATTCTAACAGGTAAATCTGCACTCACAGCTTGATTAAAAGTTCTAAAAAAACCTATTTTCAGAACCTGAAGAAGATGCAGAATCCTATTTAAGGGCTCTTAAATTCGATAATTTCACTTCAGAACAGTTTGATGCTACATAGAAAGCATGTTGGGGATACCGCCACCAGTGCATTAAGGCATCATAATGTACCAACGAGATCATCGAAAAATGGCCTTTTTATAAAACCCCATCTGGTTATAGACTGGTACGAATTCTAATTCAAATTTTTTTTAAATTGAAGTGTATTCTGTTTTAGATTGACATGGCAAATCAGCGTTTAATAGCAAAGATGGGTTGCTGAAAGGATGGTCAGAGTTTGGCAAAAAGTCTATACTTTTTTAAACTCAGAAAACCATGTCAAAGACAAGTCAGTGAAAGTTCTTATTGGGAGGCTTGCTGACATCACAATCTCTGAAAGTAAGTCAAATTGTTACAAAGACCATTTACTTTATTGTAAAATTAAAATTTTGCCGTTTTGTTTGTAACTAAATTGTCGTTTTTTTATTATTTATGGTTTCACAGATGGACGTAATGCTGCTTTAATTTGGGCGCTACATGGCTATTTGGTGCCCACAGCCAAAAGTGTCAAGAAAGATGTGACAGGAAAAAAGTCAACCACTAGATACACCATCAAAGATTCGCAGGAAGCAGTAATATTTGTTGGTGGTAGTCTTAGTGAAGTAGAAGACCGGATACACCATCTTCGAAAAACCAAAAAGTCGCTGCAACCATCGATATATGGTATCGGTAAAAGTATTTTTGAAATCGAAGAAATATTTATTCAATTTGACGATATTCGTTATAAATGTACAATCATCATCAGGGCTCTAGACGTTTGTTTGATTTAGAGTTCCCTCAAGAGAGCGAAATGTTTTTTAGTTTTTTAGAATTTTAGAAGCTCAATACGGCATGCAAGTATCCTAAGGTACAAATTTTTAATTTTAATTATTTGATGAGTGTAATGGAATGAAAGAGACTGTAGCTTTTATGTAACTGCAACTTTTATGTAGATTTATTTTGTTCAAATTTTGTAATCATTAGAGCAATAAAATAATAGTATATATAAATTATTCTGCTGATTTCACACAAAATTATACCTTGTCAAAAACTATCACGGTCGAGTAGCGTTTTTTGTGACTCGTATAGATGTAGTCTTGAAATTTTGGTCTTTTCTCATAATAATCATTCAAGTAATTATAATGATAACAATGAGAAACGGATAAATTTTGGAACATGTTATTCCCTAATTTACATCAGAAAACACAGTAGTACCTATATTGTATTATTTTTTTCATTGGTACAATTGGTCAAAGATTTGTTTCATTCAATTAATGAAAAACGTCAATGAAATATGTTCATTAAACAATGAAAAATTTTCATTAAATAATAAATATTGTTCATTAAACAATTAAAATTGTTCATTAAATAACGAATATTGTTCATTAAGCAAATGAATACATTTCATTGCGACAAAGACTTGTTTTCATTCGACAAATGAAAAGTTTCATTAGATCATGAATAAGTTCTTTATAATTTCATGAAAAATGTTCATCATTACAGCGAAATCGATTTCATATGATTAATGTAACACTCTTCATTGAGACAATGAATTGGTTCATCGGCTGAAAATCCATAACTCAATTCATTCTCTCAATGTAGCTTTTCATTGTATTAATGTACATTTTTGGTTCGGTGTACTTGTTTACTTGTTTCTACCGGTTTTTGCTTGTTTCCAAAAAACGTATCTTTATTCTGTGCTAGCTCATTTGCTTATATCACGTATTCCTTCGAGTAACGAAACTTCTGGGTGAAGTGAATTTAGTAAATTGTGCAATTTGGTAAGTAAAGTACTGTTTTGTTTTACCTGTTACAAAAACTATTAAATTGAAAACTTTGCTTGTTTTGTTTTTAAACATGTCTATTAATACTTTAGTAGGATACTTAAATTGAGTTGCATTGATGATAATAACTTTTGGTAGGTATTTTAAATTGTTGATAATAATGATTTGATTATTAACATATGATAATCTCTCTTCCGAAGATTTTGACCATGCTTGGAAAGCCTGTAGACAGTTAAGGTTTACAGACCTTAAAACGATAACTTCAACATCAGAATTACTTGAAAAATTGCCATTTTATAAAAGGCCATATGGGTTTGGTATAAACAATATCTCTTTCGAAATTATACCAGAAAAGCTTACAACATGTTATTTTACAGATGATAACATGGACGTTACGGCAAGGTTTGATACTAATCACGATAGTTTGTTAAAGAATTGGAAGCAATGTGAAGAGATAATTATGAGGATGGCGTAGATGGTGGCGTAGCAGTCGCTAGATATGTGGCTGCACCAATACAACCTTTTGTGATGGCAATTGACGAGAACATTTTTAAATTAGAGTATAAAGTTTTGAAGTTGTCATAAAACAACTATTTAGATATGTATTGCAGTACAATACAGCCTAAAAAATGAATTTGCTGTTTAATTGTCTGATTAGTATTAACTTATTTATGTTAGAAAATTAGTGAATGTGAAAGGATAAAAGATACCCTGTGACCAACGAAAAGCAACAAATAATTTCATTGTCCCAACGTATAAGGTTCATGTACTTGATGAACAATATTTATTGTATTTTATGACGTAGCTTCATTAGCAGTATTAATATGTACATTATAAGAACGTATGATGTTATTGGCTCAATGAACAGCTTTAATTGATACTGTGAACTAGCATCGTTAGAAACATAAAGTATAAAGTAGTATCATTGGCACGATAATCCTGCACACAATTATAATGTTCGACTTTGTTGGCTCAATAAAATGTGATTTGAAAAAACCAATGTACGCTATTCATTCATGCAG